CCTGAAATTTTCTTTCAATGAACCGTTCAGGATAACCATTTTCTCTGAGGACGTCCTTAACTTTTGTTAGTTCCTCATCTATCACATTGTCAGAGCAGGTCTTTCGCGCTCGTGATGTGAGACTCTGAATTAAATTTCTTTTCTGTCTGAGTGGGACGAAGCTTTAAAAGTGGGTGTATTGTCCCGTCCACGTTGGTTTTCTATATATTCGACGTTGTAGAGAACCATCGTTTCTTCGGAGGAGTGCCACGTCTTGGAAGTCCAAATTATCATTTTCTTCAGTTTGCAACGTGAACTGAATTGATTCATGAGCTTCTTTGAATCTCTTGAGCAGGCTTGTCGTGTTTCTACCTTTCGGTGCGAGACAGAATATGCGATCCACTTAGCGGCAGTATAGACTCATTTGCTCTATTTATGGCTTCAACGCTGTACTTTCTAATTTGGCCATAAATATGTCTGCTAGCAATGGGCTCAATTAGGCCCAAAAGGTCATGTTATCAGAAGGCCCTGATTTCCCTTGTGTAAATGAAACATGGTAGTATTACTGATGGTGGTGGTTGTGGTGGTAATAGTCATCTTTGTCATCGTGCTGCTGTTGCTCTAAACAGCTGACTGACACCACCTGAAGTGAACGATTAAAACTTATGAGGGATCTTGTAGTTATATTAAACTATTTGATCACTAAGGTTTTACTTGTGGAAATTTTGTGTTGTGCCATATTTATGTGAATAAAACAATTCACGCACTCTCGTTTGTATCCGCCCTGGTCTGGCACTTCCGTCTCAAGTTATTGCTTATGATGACTGTCCTTTCTATTATAGATTCACTTTCTCTGTCTTAAGTCACAAAGTAAAGTAAATAACACAAATAAATTTACTACCAAAGCAACTGTGATCCTTGGAAAACGTGTTGTTTCTTAAGGTGCTGCTGCACAAGATGATTATAGTCCGATTCCCTGTGTCCCCATCCTTCAGTTTTTGTTCAAATCTCTGTTTTTAGATACTTTCCATACTAATCCACAATTTAAACTGGATTTGACCAAACCCGATTTGGACGACAATTTAAGTCAGTGTCACGTGATAATTGGTCTGATGCAGAAAACGGTTCGTCAAGAAGCTGGACAAGATTATCCAGCCATCGGATTTGTTGTGTATGGGGTGCGTCAACAATCAATCAAACATTTTCAGTTAGAATTTCGTTCTAAACTGAATTTATTATTTACGATCAATTTCCTCCGCATCAATCATTTTAAACTATGCTTAATTAACACTTTTGAGTGATCTTTTAAGAGATTCTTCATTCCAAAATCTAAAACCGCGCTTTGGCTGTAATTTATAGACGAAGCCTACCGTATATTGTGTTCATCTTAACAAATTAATACTAAGTCTATGGGCAACATACTCCTTAGTATTGATCCCCGTATCAATTATGCTAGCCCATCTTTTGTTGTCACACCAAGTCTGGATACGAAATCGCGAATAAGAGACACTAAATGTCCTTCATGTTGATCTCTTTTGTTTGTATGTTGGTTTCCGCCCTCTTCCATAACTCTGGTGTCCTTTAGCTCCATAAACTGGTCAAAGAAATTAAACTACTGAAATCAAGTCTTGTTCACTAAATTGGGTCTTATTCTTACTCTGTCATCCCGTTTACCCTGGCAAATAGCCTTTTGGTAGTGATGCCTTTAGTAAACTGACTGGCTGCTATTGATGCTCAGCTTAATCAGTTGATAAAGACATAAGAAACTACAATGATCAACATTAATACTCAGAGAACTAATCCAACTACACAAGCCATCTATGCACGGTGTTTTCTACCACTAGTTTCCCTTTTGCTTTCCCCTTTATTCTTAAGGTTGGTGAAAAGAATTTCGGACCGCTTCCTCGACCCTTTATTCTATCACATAGACCAATCAAAATTTCCGAATTTTCTCATCGTCGTGAGGTCACTGAACAAATTCGTGTACCGCCCGGTCATTATGTGATCATTCCAAGCACATACGAGCCCAATCAAGAANTTATTCTGAGAATTATCACTTCAACTGCTGTTCAACCCGCGTACGTCCTGCCAACTCATCTGCGTAATATTGTTAAGTTCCTAATCCGATTATCGATAAATCCAGTGTTTTCCACTATCATACTTTATCAAGATTTATCCTAACACCTTGACCGTATCGGTTTGAAAAACAAATAAAACTTTCAATGGACGACAGATTACCTTTTCCACCCGTAGATCTCCAAATTGCCTCACAGCCTGCACTTCATGTGGCAAGAAGAATCAAGTAGGAATAATCAATTGGACTGTGTACCACGTTGAATTGATGTGAAACTAACCATAACCTTGTGCAGCTTGATTGTTTTTCTTAAACTCACAGGCACGTCCGATTCGATGCCGTTTCGAACCCATTAGATAAACATTTCTGATAAGTTGTAACAACAATCATCAGGGATATACGTTCTGGTATTTATCACTTGTTTGTAATTTTCTAGTGTCGACCCATATTTCACCTTCCCACCCACCCATCCAACCTATCTCCCATTGTCATTTAGACACATATATTGTTAACTAACTGAATTGCTGACGAATATGTAACTGTACCATGGTAGGTTGGTCAATGAAAGAGATGAGGAGTTTGCCTACTTACATCCGTTCTAATGCAATTGGCTGGTGTATTCGCTCAGATTCCAAACAACCAAGATGGTGAAACAGTACAACGTTACTCTTGGTGTGGACCACTTTCTTCTCAGTCCATACCCACTACTCAAATGAAGTAATTATTTATGTACATTGATTTTGAAAGAACTGGGCAACCGTACATCAACACCTATGCGAATACAAAAGATCCGATGAATTAATTCAAACGACACTGTTTTGGTTTGCTCGAAGAAAGTGTGACGGAGATTCCGTTTCATAGATATGGTTTGCCATATCTTACATCGTGACGACAGTTTAGGTGATTAAGTTTTACTTTCTAATATTTAACCTTACAGCAAAATCACATATACTTCTTAAATTGCCTAGTAGTAATTGTAAAAGAAACAATTTTCTTGGCGACAGCTTCGAAATATGTAGGAAAAATCCATGGAAAAATTCATTGTTTGATCATTATTCTTTCAAATCTTTATCATTCCTGCTTAGATTGAACAGCTCAAAGTTACCAGCCACACGCATCACAGTCAGCCATTTTTCTCTTTATTTCCTTCTCCAATCAGAATTTTAGACAAGCAGACCGTTCAAAAGCAATTACCCGAGGTCAGTTTTCTCATATGTCAGCTGCCTGTTTTTGGTGATTCTATTATTAGTACCACTTCAACAACGTCTTATTTTCTCCATTTTGAACGATTAATAGTACGAAATAAATGCTAATTTGAGTCCATCGCATTTGAAAATCTACCCGCGCTCCAAGTAATTACCTAAGACGCTTCCCGAACACCGCTAGTTGAACATATCTCACTCGTTAATTTAGTTTCGACCATGTATTGAGGTTTTATCCCCAAAATATGTCTTTTTTTGTAAATAAATGATGTGAACAAAATTGTCATTAAGTAATTAAACATTCACACCACTGGACATGGAACAGACAATCTATCCGATCAATAGTTAGTGTATAAGTCAGATCAAGATTAGCTTGGAACAGTTGAAGAAAAATTGTCATTTATTACTACGAACTGTCACTTGATTAGTGCGATCGTCAACTGTTGGTTTCCACGGAATTTAGACGTCGATGGCTATTGTTGTCGTTATCAGGACCAGTCAAGTCCATCCGCTCCGTCCTTTTTTCAGTTTTTGAAGGAAAGCACAGAGAATGACACGGAGTGACACAAAACAAATTGTTATAATCCACCTGTTTATTAGGTATCCAGAGGTTAAGTATGTGAATTACTAGATGAGAATGTATCAGATACATTTATCTGATGAGTGATAATCACCGTCAAACCCGTCGTGCATTCTTGGGGAACTTGTTGTGCAATCATTCACATGTTACTTCGTGTTTATGTTGTTTTCTAAGCATGTCTTGATAAGACATCTTAAGTGGATCCTTAGAAAGCTCAAGGGCTCTGGAACTGAACAGGGGGACAGACTAATCGTTACTCGACCATTCTCAATGAATATCGATGTTAAAATTTATTAATATAATGAACTTGAATAGACCGTTAATGGCGGTTTGCATTCTGTTCGGCAGATATGATTGACTCCATATTTATTTACCTTTTATCTTGTGAGCTCTTCTGGTACCTGAGTTACATCAACTATGGCTAGTCGTGACCAACTTCATAATGCAACTCAGGAGCAACCGACAAAAATCGAAATACAGTGGCATAACAAATGTACCTCTATCATTTAACGTATAGTTACTGCATAGTACAAGGATGATAATTAACACGAGAGCACTGCGATGCAGATTAACGGAAATAGTTTTGTCATGCTGAAAGATGCAGTCTGTTTAAAAAATCACACTATACGTTGATATTGGAGTTTGAAGTTAACGGACACCTGTTTGCGCCATCCATTAGATATCACACAGCTTTCAACTAACGAGGTCAACCACTTGGAGGTTATCCGATTTTTAAACCAAAGTCTCCTTTTCACTTAGCCGCATTTAATGTCCGCACACTATCAGATCGATGACTAAGCTGCCTTGGCTAAAGTCCCTCAAACTTTTAATTTAGTTGTATGCTATGTCTCTGAAACACGCATATAGTACCCTACTTCATTCATCATCTTGCGATCTCAAGAACCAACATAATCCTCATGCTACACTCTCCGTGTGTCAAGTCATTCGGTATCCAAAGCTCTTGGTGTTGTCTGTGTCGGGATTGTGCTGGATCGCGGTTAATAGGTGACTTTGCGCTAAGCCTGGAGAGTCCAGTACGGATCAGCAGCTACTGAACAAAGTGTTGATGCTTATTTGCCGTATCCGTGTATGCGACGAATGATT